AATCAGTCCTCCGTTATCAACAGCACAGCTGTAGCCATTACTTCTTTTGTTTACGTGTTCGCGCCAGCAGATTTCAGCATAAAACTCGTTCTTGTTGTACTGTTTGTAATTTTTGGAGTCATCGGATTGGTGGGCAACATCCTTATTCTTTATTTTCTTTCCAAGAAAAAGTCAGTTCCTTTCCTGCAGTCTTCTCCTTTCCTAAGAAACTTTAATCTTTACATGAGGAGTTTAGCTTTTTCAGATATACTCTCTTCTTTAATTAAGGGGGTTGTAATTTGTATAGAACTAATGTATGATGTATTCCAAAATGGCTGGCCTTGTAAAATAAGTCGATATATTGGTGGTACGTTTTACCTTATAACAGTGAACAATTTAATTGTTATAAGCACCGAGAGGTTTCTTTCAACCCGTGATGTTCCTAAAACGTTCAGTAGTTCCACTGTCCGTAAATTAGTGTATGCAGCGTGGCTTTCAGGGTTTTTTATGGGGTTGTTTCCAGCAGCAACACTAAAAGGTGTAAGATACGGTATTAATGCTACACCTTACACAATGGTCTGTAAACCCGATACCAGTTATCTACCTAACAGGGTAATTATAGTAGGCTTTGCACTGATACAGCATGTCATACCGAGCATTGCTTTGATTTGTATGAACATCATCATAGCTAGAAGGATATGGAAAGGAAGCAAAAGAAGGATCGATATACAACGAGATAACGCCATTAGGGCGAGGATGAGATCACACCAAATCAAAAAAACTAGTTTACTGATAACTGTTACCATAGCTTTCGTTATACCTTATTCATCAATATTGTATTACACGGCCTTTGTTGCGGTGGCTAAACCATCGCTAGATTTCCAGGAAGATTTTGTGATAAGACATTTTTGTTGGGTGCTGGTTTTTTCCAGCAGTCCTATAAACTTCATCATATATCTGGTTCAGATGAAGGATTTCCGTGTATTTTTCCTGAAACATTTCCTCGGCAAGGGTGATGGAAATTGTCAGGTTAATCCTAACGTAGAATAGTTGGGAAGCACATAGTTCCCCGCGGTACGAAGTCGTTCCCGTCACTTGTCAGTCACGCAGTTGGCTTTTTTGACTTCGTGAATGCTAAAAGCAGTGGCGGATCCAGGGCAGGGTCCCGGGGTCCACGGCTCCCCTTATTTTCAGACCAAAAAAAATTTATTGAGACCGCCCCCCCTTATTTCAGGGTCTGTATGACCGCCCCCCCTCCCCCCGCCCCCTTATCTGAAGGTCTGGATTTGCCACTGAAAAGCAATGCCAGGAAGCCTCTACTCGCAGGGAACGCTCTGCCAACCTTAAGTGTTGACAAGTAATTTGTACCTAGGGCCCAACGAAAAATCACACGTCACGAATTTCCTTAAATGTCAGTATTAGAAAAGTCATTATATATGCTCTGGCGATTATCCTTTCTATCAATACTACCCTTTCTCAGTAGTATATGCTTTCATAAGCTACAAAAAAAGCTAAAAAATATATACTTTGTTATCTTCTCCCTATTGTTTACTTGAGAACATAATTATTAAATCTAATTTTGTTTTTTGTAGCACATGATATGGTAGTAAAATTCACCTTTGTATAGCAGATCCCGCGAAATGAGTAGAGCAGCTCAATGAATCGGGCGAAAAATTTATTTTTTTGCCATTGGTGGTTTTCACTGTCACGCATTGATAAAGATAAAGTCCAGAATTTGGGAAATGATAGAAGGTAAATATGGGAGAAGAAGATTTAGGTCGATGCAATGCTTCCAATGGGAGATATTTGGAGTTATGTTTTAGCTAGATTCATAGAGCTCTATGGGTTCTTTAACGTCCGCCACAGAATTAATACGTGCAAGAGTTGTGAGATGGGGCCTAAGGTTTATCGGTGAGGTAAAGATACATTGTAACTGATAAAAAGTTTTAATTTAGAAATTTCCCTGTTAAAGAACTGCTGTTATATTGAAGAAGACTGAGCGCATTCAGTGCAAAATATTTCAACTACATATCACTTTTAACAGGCAATTCAAAGTATTGACTCAGAAAACGAAAAATTCAGGTAGGCATACACAGTTTTTATCTTCTCTTTTCTCCTTATATTTTTCTGTATTAGCCCTGGTCGTGCCTTAAAGTTGTGCCATATAAATCGACCTTGTTTAACGATAAGAGGCCGCAATATCGTGTAAATAGTTGTAGAGTGAAAAAGAATCAATAAACTTAACTATTAGCTGTCTGACTCCGTTCAAATTATTTTGTTTTATTCACATGTCCGAGAACAAGGCGCGGTGACCAAGGAGACCTAGGGCAACTTATCGTATTTACTGGAATAAGCGACGCTGTGCTTAAATTCTTCACCCCTTAAATGCGGCGCTTACTTGAGAGCGGCGCATATTGTGGGGTGGATCTTACCGGGTAATCGGGGGTGGTGCTTATTCGGGTACATATGATATGGGCGAACCTATAAGATTTCAAGCTTATATTTCAAGTTTGATTCAGTTTTAAATTCCCCGCTCTGATTGGCTAAAAAAATATTCAGATGACCCTTTGAATTCAAAAGAAATGTCAAAATAATGATAAAAAATGGGTAGCATATAGCTTTTTCAGTAAAGTTTGCCTTGGTGCATGGGAATTAAGCAGTTGGTCCGACGAAACTCACTGCAATGACTTGCTTGAGTGACTGCCAAACAGTAGCTTCCCAGTACGCAAAGCAACTGAATCAGCCACATATTTCAATTTCGCGTCTAACCCTTTGACTTTTTCTCGATTTTTTTAAATCACGGTATTGTTCTTCAAAAAATGAGAGTTAGAACAATGACCTTTGATATCAGTGCCAAAAGAGGTGCCCGTAAATTCGTAATGGCGGCAACCGTTTATGACTGAAGAGTTTTGCAATCAAACCTCTTTAATTTAAGGCTCTGTTCACACTTTATCGGATAGCTTATGCGCCGCCACGAACAGCATACCGGATTGGGCTTCTGTTCACACATAAAAACTATCCGTTATAGTGTGAACACCTCTTCGATATTTGACTCTCCGCTTTAGAGATCGGCGCGGCACAGCTTCGATCCGTCACAGAAACCGCGCCGTCACAGCCGTTCTTGTGTGTGAACAGAAGCCCAATCCGATATGATTTTCGGGGCGGCGTAAAAGCTATCCGATATAGTGTGAACATAGCCTAAATATAGGGAATTTAGTAACTCAGTTGCGAGTCGAGAGTTGGATGCATTTTTGACCGCTTTTAAGTGAGACAAAATTATCTGGTTTAAACTCTGAATTCAAGCACTCGCCGTTGGCACTAGGGCTTTCGGGTGTGTCACTGTAACCTGTTAAAAACGCAAACAGCGGGTGAAGGTTTTATGCTTGAAAACTTTCCTCGCGCCTTTTCTCCCGACCAAACTGACTTCCCCTGGATCTCATCCCAGGATGGTGAAGGTTTGGACAGTCACGTGTTTCTAGCTCTATTCTCCGCCAGTGTCCACGCTAATCTAGGATCCAGATCTCCCAAAGCCAAGAAAAGAGAGATCCCACTTTTCAGAGTATACGAAGAAAGAATGAGACAGATAAGGGGATAAGCTTAGGTCTACACAGGGCACCAGTTGCGACACCAGGTGCACTGCCTTCTCCACAGGCTTTTCCAAAGCATACTGGGGAGCAAGGAACAGGCGAGAAGCGTAAGAGCTGGAGACAAGCAAGAAGAGCAAGAGGGGGATGATAGGAACGAGCGCAGAGCGCGAACAGGGAGTGTTCTCGCCCGCACGCGCTTTCTTGAAAAGTTAACTCAACTATATATCACATCAAGAAGCGATTACAAGCGACTGGGGACAAGGCAGATGTTTTCTCGCCCTTGTCAACAGGTTCTCATTTTACCGCGTTTTGAACAGCGATTCTCATTGGTTTATCGAATCTAAGATTATTTTTCCATCTCTTTCAATTTCCTTTTCAGTTTTAATCAATATGCGTTTTATGATATGATCGCAAGTCAATGGTTGATACCTCGTTAACACGGATGCGGACACCAAATATAATAGAACTGAGTGTGGGGACAGTGAACTTACGTACCTGAGGGACCAGAGGCCCGTTTCTCGAAAGTACCGGTAACTTTTCGGGCTCGAAATCAAATATTCAAATCGAAATATAAAGAATAGGAGGGCCGGTCCTGGCTTGCAAACTACTCCATTTTGTTTCATTAACTGATAGTTTTATCAAGTTAGATGCAAAACTATTGAAACCTCAATCTTTAATGTTAACGGAGACAGCTTACCGGGCCCGTTAATTATCGGGACTTTCTGGAAACGGGCCCCAGGTACTAAACTGTCCTTAATAGAGAGATGTCCGTATATCGAGGTATACGTAAGAAGTTAGAGGAGACTTTTTAAAACTCGTTCTCGACCCCAGTGCTTACACTTTTTCAGTCATGCGGAGAACAGCTCTGGGGTCGAGATTGAACTTAAACTGTCAAACCGTCTAGCTACCATCTTAGGAAAGCAACTTGTAATAAACCTGACATTAATACTATGTGTTTCAAAAACTCTTTTATTAACCGTTTAGTTTTTAAATATGAATTAGCTAAGTAATGTACTAGATTTTAATTCTTACTTTTTACCTTTTTATACTTTTTACTAGATGTACAATTTCTTAATCAAATGCACTTGTGACAAAAGATAAGTATTTTTATCTTTTGACGAATAAAGACTTAATTATTATTTTTTAATATTATTATTGTTACCGCGGGTCTATCATTTTACGACTTTGAGCCAGCCAAGAAGGCAACAAAAGTAATATTAATAAGTTCACAACTCCTTTAATTTTGCAGCTTGAATATACTGACTAACAAGACTGAAAATTAGCAGTTTTTATTGACTTTTCAGCGAGTGAACTTGACGACTTAGTCAACAGTCTGTCACTAAACTGTCATTCAGATTCATGGTCACCTGCAAACTAACAATGCGTCAACTGACATATTTCATTAAAAAAATATTCCTTGTTCCCTGAACCTTGTTAGATGTCGTCATTATTCGGATCCTCTGTAGAAATAGCTGGCAGGAAAACATTTATTGTTCGCTTCTTTTGTGGATTCTTTTTTGAAATAATAAAAGGATCTTCGATTTCACGGCGTAGTAATCTCTTGCTATTTTCTTTGTCCTTTTCTGTGAGAACGCCCTTTTCAGCTCTACTAGATTTAATCTCAAGCTTGTTTTTTTCTAAGTTGTCTTGTTTCCAGGGCAATATCCGACTGCAGACAAACGCAGAATCTTCCTTTCTTCCAGTTAGGAAATCATTAGGTAGTTTTTCTTTTCGTAATGGCGGTAAACTAAAGTCAAGTTTATTTTTTCTGGCTTCGACGTCCACTGATAACAAATCCAAGCGTTCATTGCGCAAATTTTCTTGTGCTTTTAGCAGGACCGTTTTAGTCCCCGTGATGCGTAGATCTTTTAATTTACTTTCTGACGAAAAGGGGAGGGATCGTCTTTGAAGGATGCTTCTTTGAAGAACGGACAAAGCGTCTTTACTAAAATACCTTCGGGTAATCTCTCTCTCCCTTTCTGCAAAAATTCTTTTCCCTTGTAACGTCATTTTGACGTTACTGTCTCGTGAATAAGCATAAAATCGAGTCTCCTTGTTTAAGCGGAACAGGAACCCTCCTGGACTGGCCAAGGATAAATTTCTTTGCAGTTCAAGTTTCTTGACAAAACGGTTCCCATTCGTATCCACGGTTCGGATATCTCGATGATGTAGCATAACGTTTATTCCACTCATACAAGTTCTGTCACTTTCATAAAAGTATAGGGAACAAGCGCGAAGCCGAGTAAGGTTCGAGTTATAAAATGGCAAGGAAATTTGCCAATCAAATCAACTGAAAAACTTGCCGTGAAACTTGCGGAAGTATTTGCCGTCAAATCTCGTACAATGGTTACCGTGTTAGATTTTTGTAAACCTGAATATCCGGCCACGTCGTTCTCAATAAAGAAAATGTCTGAAGCGAAGTCTTAGCAGCCTTTAAAAGAGCATAACATAACCTTTTGCGCACAATGAAACACACAGCACGTGTTTGCTGCAAAGTTCATAAACAGATGTTTCTTAGAGAGATTGACAGCGGAGGCCAATACAAATAAGTTGATTCCTGCGATTGGCGAAGAAAAAGAAAGTTATCTTTGAATAGATGGAAACTAGGAATATAAATGAGGTAATATTGAAAGGTGACATAAGATTTAGAATCTTGACACAATATTAGTTTCTACAANGGATGCTTCTTTGAAGAACGGACAAAGCGTCTTTACTAAAATACCTTCGGGTAATCTCTCTCTCCCTTTCTACAAAAATTCTTTTCCCTTGTAACGTCATTTTGACGTTACTGTCTCGTGAATAAGCATAAAATCGAGTCTCCTTGTTTAAGCGGAACAGGAACCCTCCTGGACTGGCCAAGGATAAATTTCTTTGCAGTTCAAGTTTCTTGACAAAACGGTTCCCATTCGTATCCACGGTTCGGATATCTCGATGATGTAGCATAACGTTTATTCCACTCATACAAGTTCTGTCACTTTCATAAAAGTATAGGGAACAAGCGCGAAGCCGAGTAAGGTTCGAGTTATAAAATGGCAAGGAAATTTGCCAATCAAATCAACTGAAAAACTTGCCGTGAAACTTGCGGAAGTATTTGCCGTCAAATCTCGTACAATGGTTACCGTGTTAGATTTTTGTAAACCTGAATATCCGGCCACGTCGTTCTCAATAAAGAAAATGTCTGAAGCGAAGTCTTAGCAGCCTTTAAAAGAGCATAACATAACCTTTTGCGCACAATGAAACACACAGCACGTGTTTGCTGCAAAGTTCATAAACAGATGTTTCTTAGAGAGATTGACAGCGGAGGCCAATACAAATAAGTTGATTCCTGCGATTGGCGAAGAAAAAGAAAGTTATCTTTGAATAGATGGAAACTAGGAATATAAATGAGGTAATATTGAAAGGTGACATAAGATTTAGAATCTTGACACAATATTAGTTTCTACAAAAGCGATGTTACGATCTTTATCTTTTCCCTATTGCTTCGCCTCTTTAGCATAGGTAAAACTCGCAAGCTAAGAATTAAAAGATAACTCGGCTCTGAGTTCATCCTCTTGTTTTCTTCTTCTAGTGGTCCAGTTTAATAAAGAACTCAAGGGTGACGAAAATTGTACGCCTTAGTTAATAAAACTTAATGCTAGATTAAAAACGTTGTTTCTTCTTTTAAAAGATAAGAGTGAAGACTACAGAAGTTAGACAGTGACTGTAACAAAACACGTGACAACCTCTGGTGTTCCCAAGGTCTTCTTCTCCAGGGGACAGAAAGAAGAGAGACACTGGGAACGAGGTTGAACAGGTATGAATATTTGTATAGGATTAACACAAATATCATTCCGGGTTACTTTTAAATTATTGGATTCGGCTTTCGTATAATCTGAAGAATTCTTCACATCCAGGAGGGTGTTATCCACTGTGGGCCTCGACAGCTAATATCCTCGTGAAACTGCATATTTTTTCAGATCATACGAAAGCCTAATTTATAGTTTGTTCCCATCTTCATTTACCTATTCCTCGGAATGTCTAGTCTATCAACCATTCTAAAAATGGCAGATGTCATCTGTCGAGTTGTATTTTTGCTGTTTGTAGGAAGTATGTCGGCTGCTTCTTCTCCACAAAGCGCGTGAAATTTTCCGCCATTTTCTACAGCTCTACCAAAAAAACGCAACCTCTTCCTTTTGGCGTCTCGGTTGCCGACCCTTTTCTCTGGCGTTTATCATGTAGTACTGACGCTACCTTATCGCATATCGCAAACGTCTTCCAAAGCTGGTCAACGGTAGCTGGTTATGAAAAATTTATAACCGGGGGATTTAAGCCAATCAGAAATAGAGAAGTTTTTTAAAGAATAATAATCACCGTCAAGAGCCATCTTATCATGGCTCTTGTCACCGTTTGCGTCACAAAAGAAGCTTTCAAGGATTCACGCACTTTTAATGAAGCGATTATTTTCAGTCCTAGACTGAGTACACCCTTGATATTCCTATTTAACTAACAGGCCATTTCCGAGTTCCTAAAACTCTCTCTTTTGAAACGAGGCTAAGTGTAAAATCTTTCTTGTGATATTATAAATGAGTTTCATTTGCATGGGCCATCCCCTTTTTTTTCTTCGTTTAGCGTCGAATGCGTTTCCTGATATTGGGTCGGTCGGTCGGATTGAAAAAAAAAAAAAAAAACTAAAAAAAAAATCACAAGAAGCCAAGGAAAAGGAGGCCCAAATAGGAGGCCCTGGAAACCCAAAAAAAAGTAAAAAATAAAAATTAAAATATTTGGAATAACAAAATTAACAATTTATTTTAAAAAATGTTCCTTTTTTTTTTCCTGTTTTTCTTTTATTATGTTTATTTTTCAATTTTAAATAATTTTTTTTCAGATTAAAAGAATTACTTCAAGTGAAAATGGTTTAACTACCTCGTGCCTTTTTTTTTTTTTTTGTAAATGCCAAAAATTTGGGTCGGTCGGACGACGCTAAACGGAGAAACAAAAAGAGGATGGCCATGAAAATAAAAAAAATCATTTTCATATCAATGGATTCGTACTTAGCCTTGCTTCGAAAAAGAGGCTTGGAGATATAACCTTTAGATATAAGATAAAAATCAAAACGATCTAAATTACATTGACCTAAAACAGCATTTTTTAAATCTGTGTCAAACACAACGATATAAACACTAAAAAATATTTTTTAAAAACTAATGAAAAAATCTATGAATTTGTCAGTTTTCCAGTTACATTTGGCTTTGACGTTAATTTTTCTTCTAAAGGGGATTAACCAGGGGCGTAGCTACCTGTACGACAATACGCATGCGTGTGCGTACCTGGGAAAATGTCGAAATTAAAACGAAACAAAACGAAATATCGAGAAATAGAAAAACAAATTAAAGGTAAACAGAATATGAAAAAGTGTTAGCGTAAAAATGGTGGCATCGGCCATCTTTCTCCGCTTTAACTTCTGCCAGATAATTGTTCAAAGGAAGACACTGACAGTGTTTTCGCAGATTTTGCTCCACGCAAAAGACGTAACTGCTACCTGAAGACTAGGAGAGATGATTACCTCGCATACTGACAAGGTTAATCACAGAAAGTCACTCGCATGGGAACAATCCGGGAAGTAGGGTAAGGTTGGTTTGGAAAACTGTGTGTACTTCTGGAAAAATCCTAGCTACACCCCTGATAACTAACCGATAATTCCGATTACTGGCAGTCTGTTCCATAAATTTTTACTATGCGGTTTAAAAATGAAAATTTGAAACATCAGTTTTTTTGCTAAACTTCTGTGATTTCAAACTGAAGTAAGACTGTACGTCGAAATTCATTTGCACTTTAAGGCATTTGAGGAAACAACAGAAAATGTTGCAAATTGCACTCTCTTTGTTCCATGTCGAGTCAATGTCAAAGGCAGCAAAGCTCTGACTATTTTCTTATATTTCATTTGAAGCTATAGTTGGTTTTTGATACAGTCGAAACTCTGCGGTTTGCGACTACTCGCTTCGAACTCACTTGTAAGCGACAAGCTCTAGTTACAACTACCCTTGTGAAATCTCATTTCAGTGTCGTTTGAACTCCCGGGGGGGGGGGGGTACTTCCTTATGAGAAGCTAATGGGGATGTGCCGCTGGATGGGGTCGCATTTTCAATAGAGTTACTAGAATGGGGTCGCACATTTTCGGATTTTTTGGGGTAAAACAGTTCTTCATATTTACGGTTAGCAAACGTACCAGAATGTTTGTACTGCAGATGAAAAGTAAAGTGTTATTCATTCCATCTTAAAATGAGTCAATTCATAAAAATAGAAAGTTGGTATCGCGAAAAATTACATATTTGCCCAGATGATGGGGTCTATAATTGGCCACAGAATAGACTACAATCGGGTAGGGGCTCTGAGAGGCCAACGGCACATACCCAGCAAAAATCAACCCAAGTACCTCCCCGGGTTTGAACTGTGAGTAAAACTCTGTCATGAATAGCTCTAGTAAGCGACCACTCCCGGAAGTGACTTCAACTACTTCTGTCAATTACCGGCTGGTCTTTTCCTTCCGTTTTAAGTTCTCTTAAGCGGCCACCGCCTAAGTCAACACTTTAATAAAACCATTTACCTCTTGATCAAACTTATTACTGACTTCGTCAGTAACAGTTATAAAAATTATTTTAAAAATGTTGTTGTTACAACGCCATTTGTAACTACCAACATATTAAAGGCTTGCTGCTAAAAGCTCTCTTAAGCAAACTCCCTCAACAGGTTTTGGTAACATTTATAAATTCCCAAAAACGTGTTCGGTTACGGAAGCTTTTACTATACTACATCTAAGAAAGTATCGCCATTTTAGTTCTCTGATCTACAAAAATATAGCTTCCTTACTTAGCTTTCCACTAGTTGTCTTCTGTACATGTATTTAGACACGATCCAAGTGACCACTGGGATCAGCGTCGGATTATCTACCATAACTGTTACCTTCAAATGTTTTTAAGATGGTCTGAAAATCTATCGGAAAGTTAAGTGCGAAATAAGAAAGAAAACCGCGAAAGGGGTAAGGAAAGGGGCGTCTCCTTCTGCCCTTCCCTCTTCCAACTCCCCCCTCCCTTAGTTTCCCTCCCTCCCCTCCCCTCCCCTTTCGACGCCTGCAACGCAAGCTCATCTTTATGTATCCCGCAGGTCACGAACCGATCTATAACATAAAATTACAGGTTAAAAATAAGTACAGGCAAAGCCCGTTAATACAGACACCAAGGGGCCATAGAAAGTGTTCGGGCGTATGAACAGGGTTGAATTTAGAGAAAATGTAAGGGCTTTCTTTCCCCAGGGACATGGCCTGCGAGCAAGCTCTCGTATTTGGGTGAGTGAAGCGAGTCTTGCGAGAACGCTCGCGCGTTCTCATGAGGCTCGCTTTGCTTGCCCAAATAGGAGAGCTTGCTCGCAGCCTACCAGGGACAAAGTAAACTGTCCGTATTAAGTGGGTATCCGTAAAGCGGGATTTGATTGTATTTGTAAGTTGTACTTTAACTGTGTCATGTCCACCTCACAGAATGTCAGCTACAAGAGGCAGCTCACACTCGCTTATCGTGTCATACAGCTCTCTCACAGTGATGTTACGCTGGCTAGCAATGAACGCAATAGCGGCCTCACATGGATTCAGTACCCGGTTATCAAGGAAGCGAATCTCTCGTGGGGCCAAGCCCAATATCTCAGCAAGCTTCTTCCACTCCTGTCCTCCTACAAAAGGGAATAATATATATTTGTTTAAGGAAACGAAATTTGTCACATTTAAGGTTTCAGTTTCAGTCATGCGTGCATGCGTGCATTTATGATTCCCCGTTTTAATTTCCTGCCGAAGCTATTTAGGCTGCGCACGGCTCACTTATATTAGGCAATCACGTTTATATCGGACTAACGTGAAAAAATGTCGGTTGATAGGTGTACTGTCGTTAGATGAAAGAAAAATAAGCTTCATTTACCCTCGATTCTAAATGATGCTAGTTAGACCACTAGCATACACTGGTAATGACCCCAGAAGCGTCCAAGATATGCGATGAAAGATCGCGTACAATAATGCATTCATTCACAGGGGTCAGTTAAGTTATAACGAAAGTGATTTCTTTGCGACAGGGTTGAGCTTACATAATTCTAAAAATGTGAATCACTAAAGAACATGTCACAATATAATTGTCACTAGTGACACTCACCGCTTAATTCGATAGTAAGATCGCGTATTTGAGAAGTAGGTATATTCCGAACATCAAGGCACTCGGGCAACAGAGGGCCTACAGAAAAATAAGTGAAAGGTTTATATAAATTAGCAAAATGGATCTAAAAAGGAGGAGCTTGATAGAAGAAATATATTTTAGAGTCGATAGTTGAGTGGCAGTTTTTGGACGAACAACTTTCGTACAATTTAAAGGAAATTTCGGGCCCGCCTTCTTTAGAAGATTAATTATTGGACAGACTTCCAAGAAAAGAAACAGAGTGAAGCTATAATTTGAGCAGTTGCTCTGAACTACAGTGAATCTGTACCATCAGTCAAAAATGCTCGGACGGTAAAATGTTCGGACTGTGTTATTGTTCGTAGGGAAATATTTTGGAGACACTTTTCTTAAAAAATCAACAACACACTGATAAAACTTCCATCCACATGAATCATATTATCGTCATCTCTTCATGTGCGCGATCTATTCATCTTCAGGCCGGTTCACCATTATCCATTCCACCCCAAACAGTTCGTTGTTTATGAACCATTTTTTATTAAGCGGGTGCTTTTTTGCCAGTTTTGTACTTATATAAACTTTAAACTTTACAAAACAACCGCAACAAACTCACCTGTAGTATACCAGCTGGTGTAATTTCTCTCAGTTTTCTCACCAAGTCGAGCCTGTTCCACTGTTTTGCCTTATTTGCCAGGCAACGCATCAATCGTTTGGTCTCAGGGTCTGGCTGTTCTAAGGAAGCCTCATCCAGTTGCAAAAGGTCTTTCAGTTGAGGTAAAACTTCTCTGGTGTCGCATAGCTGGGGTATAAGTGTTAACACTTTTTCATCAATTCCTTCAAAGCAATGATTCTTATAGAACTTCATGTTCGACTTTCAACATTCATTTTTGGAAAAAAAGGCACAGGTGCTTTGTCTGGGGAATTCTGGTCATTTCGAAGGCTACCAAGTTTGCAGTATAAACTAAGATAACTTTCAAGGGATGCTGGAAAGGGATTAAGACATTTCCAAGAGACGAACATTTTTGTCGGAATGGTTTTAATTACACGAACGTACCCTTAAGTTAGCTCACTCGTTTACCTTACCCATAAAACCTAGTGTCGCATCCTTACCTCCTCCAAAGATCTCAATTTCATCAGTTACAGCCTGTAACAAAAAAAAAAAAGAGAGAATTGAACAAGACTGATTTGATATGCTCTGTGAGCTATCTTATGGGGAGTTGCTTCGTGGACGGGGGAGGGGGGAATGTACTGAAAGTCACCTGGCTCGGTTACTGAACCCTCATTGGAGACCTTTAATGCATTTCAAAAAACTGAAATGTCCAGAAACTGGATAATTAAAGCGGAATAGGCTCTTTGCAGCTAGTGATTTACTTGGTACAAAACCGCCACGCTGGAAAGCAAAGGACGCCCTGGGAGAAGACAACAGGGAGCTCACATCATTTAAAATGGTTATCTCCTTTGTTTGTCTTCCCCCAGTGCCAGCATGGCAGTTTTGTACCCCGTGAATGACAAGCTGCAAAGGGCCTATTGCTGCTTTACATGTTATGTATAAAAAAAGTCCTCAACAGAAAACATCTTCATTTAGTTGATCCCAGTAAATGTGCGTCAAGTGAATAGGCTCTTTGCATGACTCGATCACGTGATCAACTTTCGGTAAAAACGAAAACAGTTATCTTTTCAAAAATTTTGTTAGCACAAGCTGAAAAAGCATATTAAAATTAAGTAGCCTGAGAATTCTAAGCCGTGTAACTCAAAAGTAGCGATTGTAACGGCCGCCGAAAGTTCGAAGCATTTGTATGAGAAAAAAAAAAAAACTTTTGCCACCCAGTCACACTTGCATGGTTTTCCATACAAATCCTTGTAAATTCTAAAATTTTTAAAACTGTCTTTAAATCTTTCCTTTAGGCATTTAAGGGCTCAAATTGCCTGTTATGAATTAAAAGGAGATTTGGGCTCTGTAATGCTTAAGGAAATGTTTCATGAAAGTTTTGAAAATTTAGAAATTACAAGGATTTGTATGGAAAACACGAAAACTATTTCCCTTTCGTAAACGGTCGTTGCATTTTTAACGGTCGATGCCACCATTGGTAACCAAGCCTCTAGTCATGATGGATGCAACATATTCCCTGGATTAAGTTACAATGAGGTAAATAAAACGTTTTTGAATAGTCTTAGAAAGAACGAGGTTGAAGCCCGAGTTGAATTTAAGTTAAAAATTATGGAAAGGGCTAGGGTCACCTGTTAATGATGTAACAGTTACGAAAGACAGTTTGCTAGTGTACGAACTTAATTTTTTCGGAATTATTATTTTGGCGGGTCAGTGTAGTAGTGTAGTGGTAAGGGAGAGAGATTAGGATTCGAAAGGTCCGGGTTCGAGGTACAGGTTCGACCCTGGTTTGCGATTTTCTCTTTTTTTGTTGTTGTTGTTTTTTTTTTTAAATAGAAACGGTTTCAATAACAAGTCAAAAATTTTCTAAGTGTCTTAAAAATGGCAGCGACCGTTTACGAAAGGGACAACCCCGTGTCCGCAAAAACGAAGTTCGTTTAACAGATAATGACACAAACGTTTAAGACTCACTCACGATCGTGTTTGCTTAATATGGGGACCACTTAATACGGGTTTCACTCTTTCTAATAGTTTTGTTGTCATCGCTCTCGTGAGAAAATACTGAGGTTTAACAAAGCGGGAGTGTTTGACTAGGGTCTCTGGGATAACCAAAGAGTGACGGTGAAGGAGTAGACAAAACGTAGGGGGCATTGGTAGTAAATGTTTTAAGGTCATTTTCAGAAAACGTTGGAGTCTATTCACCTGTTCATCTGAAGTTTCAAACCAAGGTGCAAACCATTTGACGTGAACTTTGTCACTTTCTGCAGTAAGACACCTACGACACCTGATGAAGTCTTTGGCCTCGTGCAAATCAGACTCAGACAGGAAGTGCAGACATTCCTCTTGCTCACAACACCACTGCTTGTGATTTTTGCAGCAGTAATTGGCTTTACGTTCTTGGCAACAAACGGGACAGATCACACCTGCTTTATATTTCATATTTTTAAACCAAAAGAATTCTTCTCGCATGCACTCAAGCATCAAAGCCAGTTGTCTTCGCACTGCACGAGCACACCACTCTTCAAATCCATCATAGTTGGGAACTGCCGACAGGTTCAGCTTGGATTGAAAAGATTCTGTCAGGTTTGCCCTGACATTTCCTCTGTGAATCACAACTTCAATACACGATGAATGGCATCGAAGAATTACAGAGCAGTCGTCATCTGCAGAGGTGTAAAACCGCGCAAAATTAGCGTACAACTGAGGATTCTCTGCACTCCAAACTTCGTCTTGGCCCCACTGAAAGAACTGCAGCAAGAGTCGGGGAAAAAAGCCTGGAGGAACTTGCCCAGATTCGAACCTGATATAAAAGGATGGAATTTGTGAGGAGGCTACCAACTTGATAATATCCTTTGGTGGATGAGACATCAGCATGGAGGGCACGAGATACTGCTTGCCACATGAAGCATCTGATGAAGGCCAAGGACAGAGCAAGCTAAATTTCTCCATGATTTCTAGAAGGCTCGGAAACATTTCTTTTGGAATTGATAAAGGATCCCACACAAGTTCCAAAAGTTTATACTCCATAATGCCCTCTGTCTGCAGCCTGCTCCACAATTCTGTTTCTTTTCCTTCATAGGGACCGGGCTTGACGGTTATCACCGACGTAAACAAGTCGACCAACCACTGAGGATCCAAGATGACCATATTATTCAAAAGTGGAGAACTGTCGAAATGAATCAAGATTCTCTGGTCATGTAGAAAGTTCAGCAGTGTTGTAAATTCCCGATCATCCTCAATGTGACACATTTTGGACGCAATCTGTTTTGTATCTTCCAGAGAAATCCACTTTTTCCCATTTTTTACTTTGGTTTGAAGAGCCTTTTCCAAGCTTAGCCACTTTACCGGGTAGTCTTCTTTCATCTGTGGTAGCTCCTTAGCAACAGCAACGACTTTCTCCCACAAGCGCTTGACTTCTGAACACTCTGATTTACTCCCTGACTTTTTGTTATCCACGACAAACACGTCTTTATACAATTGGTTTTTGTACGGCTTTGTCTCCAAGGAACCAAACACTTCACGCGCTAGCACAAATGGATCTGCCTTACCACAAGGTTTATCAGCATGAGTGCAAACAAGGAACACAGGGGGAATAATCAATGGTGATTGTTCCAAACGTATCTGCTGGTTGTCATCTTGATTGGCTATTGAAGCAACCCATGTCATCCAGAAATCCAGATAGTATAGGTTACTTTTACAATCGTGGTTGTCTAAAATCATGCTGTACATTCCTTGCTTTACAGTGGGATCGGCTCTTGCGTGAAGACCTCGGCTGAGGTCAAAAACTAACAGGTACACTGCTCTTTGTGTGAGGAAAAGTGGATGCGTTGCATAGTACACAGGTTGCCCAGCAAAATCCCAAACAATTGAATACATTTCCGCATCGTCTCCAACTCTCTCTTTCTCAACTTCTTTTAGTAAGTTTATTATCCTCTCTGCTACCTCATCTGGTATCTTGACTATATGTTTGTTTTCTTCTTGGCGAGCTGCAGAATATGCACCAGATTCTTGAACAGACTCCATTGAATTTTTTGATGCCACACTTGATGATGCAATTTTTGCCTCCTTTGACGGCAAATCCTCCTTTGAATCAATGTTTCTGCGAGTTAAACCTTCAACCACTAAACGAGCCATGTGGTGCTCAAAAGAGAGGGCTTCTCTGAAGTCAATCTGTGCTTGATTGTTCACGGTATTCTCACCTGGCATGCAAATATCAGGTGAGACATTGAAATGTGAGGGTCCAACATCTATCCCCACTGTGCTGTCTTCGTCTGGGTTGAAGGGCTTTCCCATCATCGAATTCTTAAGGCTGGTTTTTCCGGAGCGATCTTGTCCAATCACCATGATCGGGAACCTCTTGAAACGAGTTTTTCCTTCATTAAGAGCCTTGTTATAGGCTTCCACAGCCAAGGGACCACGTAAATAAATCTCTTCAGGAACGCGGGTGAACGCTATGAACATCATAAAGTGAAATCATTATGATAGTTCAGATTTATATATCTATTTGCCCAATTACTTTTTTTGCTCGGTCAGTGAGACGAAATTGTCACAGAGGAGATAAGTATTCCTAGAAGCACAGTTGATAGAAATTAACAAGGCATTGACAAAATCAAAACTGACGCGCTATTCTATTGGAAGATGGATGGTGGACAGCCCGTATGAGTTGAAGGAGAGAGTCGGCTAGCAAATTTCCGAATTACATTATAGCATAGAATGAACCGCGTGATTCGTTTTAACAGATTTAGAGTGTTTTCAAAACAGTTCGCCCTCTAGTAAACCAAAGTCAAGTTGCAATTCGATGACAAACCCAAGCGTCAAGTTCGGAACAACTAGGTATCGACCCGCTTCCTCTTGATTTGACTCTACATGGAACTACTAAGAGCTAGGGCGTTTCAATGCTATGGCGGGAATTTTCTAAATTTAGGCTTATTTTTCCACGCATGCAAGCACTTCAGTTTGGAAATTTACTCCTTCCACCTTGCGTACAAGTTCAATTTTTTTTTTCTTCACACTCTCGAGTCCGGCCGCTCATGAAAATTAACCTCACTAAGCTATTTTAACCAGGTTACTTTTGGAAGAATTTTTGATTGGGTTATTAAAAGTTAACCCAGTTAGTGTCTTTTTTTTAAAAATAGTTTTCGTTCCTCTCTCCTCAGGGACCGATATAATGCCTGATAACATAACATGCAGCAAATATTACCTTGAGTCAGCAGTTTATACTGATCATCAGGATCTATTGTATTGCCAGCAAACTGGAAATTGTCTATAGCTTAAGACAAAGACATTTTCATGTAAGTTTTGAAAAAGAAAAGTTATCATATATTTCAAACAAGTAAAAAGGATACGAAAAAGTCTGCAGAAACTGATATCTAATCACAACTCCGAATACCTGCTAGAGTTTCAAGAATAAGCCGTCGCTTGAACTCATTTACTTTTTAAGGAGATCGCTTTTCTCCGTCTGGATTACGCTGTAAAATCTCCTGTAAGATTTTTAGACAGTCGATTCCAAGACAGTCGTTGCTTTCTAGCTCCTTAAACAATGATCGAACATCTTTGATTCTAAAAGGAACTACTAAGAGCTAGGGCGGTTCAATGCTATAGCGGGAATTTTCTTTATTTAGGCTTAGTTTACCATGCTTGTAAGCACTTCAGTTTAGAAATTTACTCCTTCCACCTTGCGTCAAAGTTCAACTTTTCTTTCTTCACACACTTGAGTCCGGCCGCTGATAAAAATAAACCCCACTAAGCTATTTTAACCAGGTTACATTTGGAAGAATTTTTGATTGGGTTATTTAACAATTTATGACTGAGGCTGAGTATCTTATGAAGAATTATGACCATCGACGAGGGTGTTATCCGTCGGGGCCGTAGGCCGAGGCGGATAACTCCCTCCGAGATCTCCATAATTCTTCATATGATACGAAATCCGAATTCAATAATTGTTTTATTATTCATTCAAAATAATTTCTAGTTTAAAAACATAACTAAAACATTCTTACCTCCATCGATGTTAAGTGCACGTTTAGGGTTGTTCAGCTCCGCAAATATTCTCCAAATAGCAGATGTCGCCCTTCGAGTTGTAATCTTGCTGTTCTTGCCATGTTTTTAGCTATAATTTCGCCTAGTTCTTACTCTTGAAACGACTGAAATGTCCGCCATTTTTCTGTTTTCACAACCAAAACAACTCAACCTCGTCCCCAGGTCTTCTCGGTTAACGGTGCGTTCACCTGTAGAAGGCTGCAGTTTTGACGTCATTTCCTCGTTAAAACACAAAATTCTTCCAAATTTGGTCATCAGTAACTGGTTATGGTGAATTATGCGTGTGCTTTTAGCCAATCAGAATCGGGGAAACATTTTGAATGAATAATATTAAAAGTTGACCCGGTTAGTGTCTTTTTGTTATAGTTTTCGGTCCTCTCTCCTCAGGGACCGATATAATGTCTGATAACGTAACATGCAGCAGATCTTACCTTCAACCAGCTCTTCCAGGGCTAGATTAAGAGGAGCTGCAAACTGGAAACTGCCTATAATTTAAAACAATGACATTTTCTTGTAAGTTTTGAAAAAGAAAAGTTATCATATATTTCAAACAAGTAAAAAGGATACGAAAAAGTCTGCAAAACTGATATCTAATCACAACTTTGAATACCTGCTAAGGTTTCAAGAATAAGCCGTCGCTTGAACTCATCTACTTTTTCAAGGAGATCACTTTTCTCCGTCTGGATTAAAATCTCCTTTAAGATTTTAAGACAGTCGATTCCAAGACAGTCGTTGCTTTCTAGCTGCTTAAACAATGATCGAACATCTTTGATTCTAAAAGGAACTACTAAGAGCTAGGGCGGTTCAATACGACGGCGGAATTTTCTAAATTTAGGCTTTACCATGCATGCAACTGAGCCTTCTTTTTTCGCCTTGCATCCAAGTTCAACTTTTCTTTTTTCACACACTTGAGTCCGGCCTCTCATAAAAATTAACCCCATTAAGCTATTTTAACCAGGTTACATTTGAAAGAATTTTTTGATTGGGTTATTAAAAATTAACCTGGTTAACTTGCTAAGAGCGGCCGCACCCGTGAGAAGATGCTGACTTGATATGTCATAAAACTACTTCCTTTAAGGGAATTCTTTCTGACAATGGTTATGGTGCCCCATCAGACTATGGACGGTGTTACGTTTTGTCAAGTGTCACCTGAACATAGTATTGGGTTAAGAGATTGCTATAAAAAAGGAGCATCATGTTTTTAACCATGATATGGTTACATGAATAGAGAAGGTCAAATTTTTGTTTGTGCAAAACCTTGCAGTGCTCTTATACAAAAAACAACCCCCCAACTACCAGTATAATTTCTCTGAGTGATAAGGTTTGGAGGGATATTAGGTTTGGAGTGAGCTTTAGGGAGGTATTTTGTAAGTTTCGTTTCGTGGTAATTTAAAATGGCATTAGCCAGTGGGGACATGACACAGGACTTTGCTGCGTCAGCTTTTGCATGATCAGGCGCTGATCAACGTTATTGTAGTTCGGTATGAATAGATCGCTCTGGTAGGCCACAAAAGGGTCTCCTCTCCTACGCATTGTTACTCTATTAGTAAAGTACGGCCGACTCTTAGATTACACGCTACGGTTCCTGAAAAGATGGTTAAGTTTAACCCAAGATTAAGCCAAATTAAAGCACGGCCGCTTTCTTGTCTAAGAACATGCAAATGCTACTCACGTTTACAAGATACAGTAATTACAACACAAGATAGATGTTATACGATCTAAGCAATGCATAGGAAGGTTAATGCAAAAAGTAGAGCACAATTTTATTCCTAGATAATTAGCGTCAATTGGCCTTTCGGGAATTGGGAACAGGAACCTAAATTTCACTTAAAACTTAGTAACAACTGTTTGCAGTGCGGATAAGATTACTTTTTACAGTGCTTAAGTCATAACTGAGCTGGATCACAAAAAAAGAGAAAGCTAATGAGTGATCTTGAAAGGAGCATTACTCCGAAAGTGTGTGGAGGAGACTGGAGCCAAGATATATAATCCCCCCAAAAGGAAAGCCAGTGGCCTTTACAATGAAAATAGGATAGTAAATAAGAACTCAAAGACGCAAATTTGCTTGAAAAAACTGGGCTCTTAAACGTTAAACACTAGAAGACATGTGTTGCTTTCAAACATGAAGGTTGGTGTCTGCCTTTTTAAACTGCATTTACGTGATTTTATAATTTAACCCGAGATGTCAGCCTTTAAATTTAAGATAACCATGTAAAGACTGTTGTGGACATGTCTCATATCATCTCATAATAGATGAGACCCTTATTACACGTTGGTTAATGTTATTACAGATGGGACTTTTATTATCCTTGGGTCCAAATGTTATTACAGATATGACAGTCTTTACATGGTTATCTTACCTTTAAAGGCTAACATCACGGGTCATGTAACCAAACGGAGCGAGAAAAAAATGAACAGGAAAAAATACCATAGAATGTAGAAATGGCTATCAGTTTAAGCTTTGGCAAATTTATAATTGGCTATGAAACGTGCTTTTAAAAAAATTCATCACTTCAGAAGAAATAGATCTGTCATTCGCGTTTTCTTCTATAAAATGTCAGACCAATTAACAGTTTTCAGCCCAGTGGAATCTGTTATTATTTTTTTCCTCTGTCTTCCCATTTGTCACAGCTGAATTTTATTGACAGGATTTCATGACTGTCAGTGCTTGTGCTGAAAAGGAGTACCTTTAATTTAAATTGTTCCTTATACATTAGTGAAATCTAATAAAGCAAATGCCGTTGCTAAATACAATATTATGGTTTAAAAAATTTCCAGAATTTCCTTAAACCGAATTAAGATAACATAAGATTTTTACCATTATAACAATATAAATCACTCTGCTAAGAGCGCAGTAAGTGCAAAATATGTACAGTTTGACAGTAACGTGAAAGCCATGAATGAAGATTCAGTCGACTCCCGATAACTCGAACCTCGCGCTAATTAACTCGAACCAAAATCGATTTCCCCTGGATTTCCGTCATACATTCACTGTAATTTTACCCTCGGTAACTCGAACCCTCGATTACTCGAACTCCCGCTAACTCGAACCAATTTAACCAATTTTCGTTTCCCCTCAGGTCATTTTCTATATAATTTTACCCTTGCTAACTCGAACAATGTTTTGAGCCCTTACAAAGTCGGGAAAAAAGCCGTCTACGGACGTCTGAAACATTGAATTTTGGATTTCCTATTGACTTGTTGTAGGAGTATAGTTTACTAGTGGAGGCTAATGTTGATTGTCACAGGCTAATGTGAAGCAGCTTAAGTTTTCTTTTCAAAACAGTAAAACGCATGCTCTATTTAGGCTATGTTTTGTTACGCTACGTTCTGATTATAATCTAGAAGTATTTTTAATTTTCACGAGACATTTCTACATCTAAATGTGATTAAAATGTTCACTGTGCAGTAAAAACTGTTTT